TTTATCGGTTCTCGCTTTGATTACTGAAACGCACTTTATGTTGGAGTTAGCCAGGGTTCTCTATGTCCAGAATTCTGCTGCTAGACTGTTGACTAACACTAGGAGGCTCAGTCACACCACGCCTGTACTTTACTCCCTTCATTGGCTCAAAGTTTGTTTTAGGGTTCATTTTAAACTTCAAATGTTTGTTTTTAAAGCTGTTCGTGGTATTGCACCTTCTTCTTTGTGTGATCTTTTAAAAGCACATCATCCAGTTAGAACTCTTCAGTCCGCTGACCAACATCTTTTGGAAGTCCCTGGATCAAAGTCCAACACTGTGGTGACAATTCATTTGCTGGAGCTGGTACAAAGTTATGGCATTCATTTCTATTAGAGCTGCGCATGATTAATATCCTATTTTTGTTCAAAGCTAAGCCGAAGACATATTTGTTTAGAACTGTTTTTAGCACGTTGTAGTACACTGTTATTGTTTCTACCAATGTTGTTGGTTTTTATTCTTTATTTTTTATTACTGAACTAATGGAAAGCACTTTGGTCCAGTAGTCACTTTTGTAAATTGCTATATAAATAAAATTTGATTGATTGATTGATTAAGTGATCAACACCAAACCACCTGTTTAGAACATTATTTATATACCATATCAACATAATATAGTATATAACTACTGAGGAAAATTGTTTTTATTTTAATCAAAATGACATCTGTTATAATTCCAGATCAAATATTCAAACGTTTCAGAGTTTTCTGATGAATATTCAGTGTTTAATCTTTATGTACAGTATTATCAATACATTCCAAATACAACATATTATTAAGACATTACACTTGTGCAAGAAATGTTATAGATAAGTTGTAGGATTAAATACTTATAATTCTTCCTACTCCTGTTCAAACTGATAAAACACTGGCATGTTCTATTACCTCAGTTACTGATTTGTGTGCAATATTTTTTATAATATCATTTTTAGTTTCTACTTTTGTGCTCATCCATTTGTGGGTATGTTATCACGATTATTATTATTTTTTATGATTTTTTTTCCTTAAAGGCTTTGTGCAATAAGGCTATTTTAACCTGTTTGAATTAAATAAATAAACCTAAACCCCATGTAGTCTGACATGTTTTGAGTTTGAAACTTTTTATTTTTTTATTTTATTTTATTTTTTTCCCCAGGATTGATTTAGCTTCTGGCTCTTGCAAAGAAATGGATCTCTTCTGAATCACACCTCGAGTCTTTAAATTAAAAATAGTAATCCATAAATCACATCAGCCAGACCCTTCAGAAGCTCTAATGATAACATTCACCATGATGTATGGATTCTGTCCTCATGTTAATTCCCTGAGTTACCATGAGATTTGCGGATTACAGCTGACAGAGTTCTGGATTATTTCAGTCAGTGTCCTCCATGATCCTAAACATCTTGACCTCCTTCCTGCATATGTTAGGCCACAGTCAGCTTGACTTTATTTACTGCCTGTTTGCTGCTGAATCAGGTCCAGAAGCTCTAATTTACCAATATTTATTGCTGTCGGGTTTTTTTTCCACAATTGTCTGAAATCCTTAATACAGTCCTGGAACAAAACCTTTATATATATAATTAGAAATAGTTTTATTTGATACAAAAATTATTCCTTAAACCATAATTTCTTCTTCTAGTTTAAATACTAATTGTTTTTCTTGTCATACATCTATAGAAGGTGACCTATGACCTACTATGGATTAAAAGTTTTCCATTGCTAGTAAGTAATGGTTGTTATATTAATAAATTAAATACATTAAAACAAATAAATCTTGGCAACTATAATAATCCGTTCCTGAAGAAATACTAAGAATCTTGACAAAAACTGTTTTTTAGTTTTTTTTTTTTCAAACAAATACCAGTTTTGAGGTCAAATTCCAATATGTAACTGCTAATAAGAAAAATTGTATTATTTCTACCCTGAAAATGACACCTAAGGGTAAACTTCATGTCTTCACCGAGTCATTACGGATCAGGAAACCTAAGTGCAATACCCTGTTTTTCGCCATAACACCCTCTGCACAGCTTCTTCAACTGAATAATACATGTTGACCTTAAAGAGCGACTCACACAAACAAATCTAAGCCAAACAGAAAAGACATTACAGCAGTAAATCAGGGCCAAACGCACTATAACTGTGTCTGTGTGTCCGTTTGGAAACTGATTTATGCTTTTGTTTGTGTGTTTGTGAGATCAATGTTCAGGCCTCTGCCATGACAGCGCCCTGTTAGCTGAGCCAATGAGCACTTATAACCTGGTTTCCTTGGTTATGGCCTTCTCAGTCCGTCTCAGTGGACACATTTCTGGGATGGTGCCTGTTTGGTGCTTTACTGTGAGCCTATGGCTGTCTTTGTTGTGGTAAAAAGAGAATGATACATACATACATACATATATATATTACATACATACATACATATTTTTTTTTCTTTTAAAAAGTTACCCGACAGCTCAGATTAAGATGTATAATAAATAAATTTAGGTACTGTACAGGTTAAATTTAGAATAGAATAGAATAGAATAGAATAGAATAGAATAGAATAGAAAGTCTTTATTGTCCCGCCGAGGGGAAACTCAGGTGTCACAGCAGCATCAGTACAGAGGTTCACACACTAGTTTACAAACTGTAGACAACGCACAAAAACAAAATTACCACTAACTAGCAATGATACTACTAATACTAAAAATATACTATAAAAGATTGTGCAAGAATAAAAAGATCTGTTGTGTTTTAGAGACTGTAAGTTACTTATCAGAATTTGACATTAGATATTAGAATTGACCTATTTTCAGTTAAATTTAAAACAGTCATTTACAAATCATGTCATGTTAGTTTGTCATTAAAAAGTGCTTAAGACCCCAAGTTTGACTTAAACATTTACAAAATCCTTTTAAATGAAACTTTGCCGGATTTTAATCCAGATGTTGCAAACAGTTCAAATGTTATTTAGGTGTTTTTTTCCAACCAAAACATGTCACTAGCTGCATTTCCATTGACCATGAAAATGTGCAAATTAGAATTTCGAGAAAATAAATTTGCTCAATGGAAACACGTCAATTTCGAAAAAAAATTGTGTTTTTCGACAAAATGTTTTTGCGCTAGGATGAGATGGTTTTTCGGCCTTATCGAAATTGGTGTTTTTCCATTGCAAAACTGCAATGGAAACACTTTTTTCACATCACGGGAGTCACGTGATCAACAACCGGCTGTTTCTACTGGTGAAAAAGACGAAGAAGAAGAAGATAACAGGAAGTAGAAGTAGTAGTAATATCACAGAAGTTGTATAAAATAGTAAACTCACCGACTACAATTTCCCAAAAACACAGCATACGTAGCCGCTCCCAAGTAGGGACTTGTCTCTGGAAAGCCTCGATAAGACGCCAACATCTCCTTTGATGATGAGCACTAGTGTCATGGTATCAGTATGCTATGTGTTTACATCCATTGCCGTCATGTTTGTAATGACTTATCGCGAGAACAAATGTATTCACGCGTGACTTTAATAGCATTTCTTACTTAATGGAAACACCGCARYYGBRAAACTGTGTTTTTCGACATTAACAGAATATCGACAAAGTTTTGCGCACATTTGCAATGGAAACGCAGCTAACGATGTGGGGTTGCTGCAGGTGGTCAGGTCCAGGTTCAGCAAGTTTGTGCTCAAAGAATGAGGTCAGCTGACTACCTGGACATACTGAATGACCAGGTTATTCCATCAATGGATTGTTTCATCCCTGATGGCACGGCCATATTCCAAGAAGACAATGCCAGGATTCACCGGGCTCTTATTGTGAAAGAGTGGTTCAGGGAGCATGAGACATCATTTTCACATAAGGATCGGCTTCAAAGAGTCCGTTGAGAATCTTTGGGATGTGCTGGAGAAGGTCAGACTACCATCATCAATGCAAGGTCTTGGTAAAAATTAATTCAACACTGGATGTAAATAAATCTTGTGACATTGCAGAAGCTTATCCAAACAATGCCACAGAGAATGTGTGCCGTAATAAAAGCTAAAGACGGTCCAACGCAACATTAGAGTGACCTTTCTTTTTGTCCAGGCAGTGTATGATGAAATAAATAAAACCGTCCAGACATAATCATCAGAAACATGGCTGAGTACGGGCTGCCCCTCACACTGCCTGCTTAGAATAATTATAGCCTTTGAGCACATTTTGTGGATGACCTTTGTTCTAAAGACCCCAATGTGACCAGAACCACTACAGTGTGCTCACATAACTGCTGCGCAAATGAAATGGGAATAATGCGGCCTTTTTATCTTTAACGTCCATTACAATTGATAAAACACAAATATGACCCATCATATCGAAATGAGGATTAAGTCAAATTTGGTCAAAATTACCTAATTATATTTTCAGATTCTTGACTTTAAAAGCTACATTTTGACACCTGGATCATTCTGATATCATAAGTAAATCCATAGATATGACTTAATTTGTCTTGTTGGTTACAATAATACATAAATATTTGGTCTGAAGCCTAATTTTGTGTCATTTTAATGAGGAATTTTTGATGTCCTTATAAAGAGGAAACCTCAAATTATATTTGAATATTGAGATTTCTCAGCTAAAAAGAAACAAAACTTTACTAGCTCACAGGGAAAATCTTAAAATTTTAAGGTTTTTTTTTCCTCAAAATCAGGTTTTTTTGTTGCTACTGTTCAAAAAAAGTGTTTAAAAGTTTTGTTTTATGATTATATTTCAGACAGTTCATTCAAATGTTACATTGATAAGGCTTTTATTCATTATATTTTGACAAAATGCAATTTTCGTTAACATTTTAGTCAAAACACTATATTTGCCTTTTTCTCCATATACCAATTTCGGACTTAATCCTTGTTTCGATGTGATGGGTCAAACATAATGATGAACTCCACCAGTAAGCAGACAGATCTACAGTGAAGAGAGCAGAGTCCTCTCTCATCACATAATGAATGTATAGGGGTGTCATTGTTTCAGTACTCACCCTCCGGTCTGTACTGGGCTACAATAGTAACCGTCTGTCCGGCGTTCTTCAGAGCTGCAGCTGCCTGTTCATGAGTCGCGCTGGTCAGGTCCACCCCATTCACCTACACACGCAAACACACACCCTGTTAGAGCGCATCGCTTGAGTAAGTATTTAGCATACCTTCAAAACACGTCTTATTTTATTGATCTCATAACGTAGCATCTGTGTACTTCACCAAGTCTTGTTAAATGCATGAAATTACTCCCCAGTCTGTGTTGGCATGAATAAATAACACAATTCTGCAGGGTCACACTGCGTCACTGCAGTCTGAGAACTCCGTCTTTAGACATTAAAACACACCCTGCGTTGTACGCCATGGTGCAAAAGCCCCGCCACCACTCACAGCCCGCCGCATGCAAGGGTGACATGGCGGCCATGATCGAGATGAAAAAGGACGAAGCCGATCACGACAGAGATGGATGCCCGTATGACACTCTCCACATCTACGGCTACGAGGGACCCGAGTCTTTAGCCGGGAGTCTCAGCTCTCTGGAAAGTTCTTCATCTGGGTCAAACTTGGATTACGACTTTCTCAACGAATGGGGGCCAAGGTTTAGGGTTCTGGCTGAGCTGTACGGTGTGGATGGAGCCGACTACTACCATCAGTACTGATAGAACCTCCTTTTTTTTCCAGAATGTACACATGGAAAGTGTGCATCAGTGAAAAGAGCCATAAAAACACTCAAAACATGCAAGAACCATGCAGAAAAAAAAATCACATAAAAGAAACTTCTTTGACTTTTAAAAACACAATCAGGGGGGTCTTTTTTCCCCTCCAAACAGTTAGCTTCACCAGTAAGTCAGTGGATTCATTTGTGTCTTGTGCCTCTTCTCTCTTCACTCCCAATCAGAAAATAAGAGATTTATTGAATCCTGGAAGCTCCTGTGGGCTGAGTCAAGGATTTTCTAGTTTTACATTTTTCCTGCTTATTGTTTTTTTTTTCTATGCTAATGTCAATCAACTAAGCAATTTTTAAAGTAACTCATGGACATGACATCATAGGGTTAAGTAAGAACTAACAGCTTCATACAGAAGAAGACTAATTTTTAATGATTTCAGGACACCATGAACTTTTTTTTTTCACTATCGTGATGCAAATTCAAACTGAAGAAATGTTTTCTGCCGACTGATCAAAATTTATCTTGGGTCATAATGTTCCAAGATGATTTTGAAGAAAAATTGTGTATGTATTTTTTGTTTATGTCTCAGCTTTTGTGTGTAGCCATGTTTCGGTCCGGATACCCACTTTCTCAGTTCTAACTTGGCCCTCTTGTACAGTTTCTCTTCAAAATCATACAGCATTTAAAATATCTATTAACTCTTGTTTTTAGGCAAGCTTGTTAAACCGCAATTCAGTTTCCTATTATTTGTTTCCGGTTTGAGATGCAAAATGCTGCATGAGAGGAAAAACTAATCATCTTCAATTCTGGAATATGTGACTTTCTTAAATTTGGTTGCTAGAAAAGTTTAAAAAGACTACAAAAACACCGAACAGCAACACAAGTTTAAGCCTTGCCATATAATGATACAACTAAGGAGCCATTTTCCACATGAGTCATTTCGAACCATTTTCCCCCGTTATTTTCTGCTCTGAAGAGAGAAAAGACAATAGACAGATAGGCAGACAGGAAATGGCTCTACTGCTGTTCAAACAGAATTACAGCTCGTTCCCAGGTTTTTATTTGACAGAACTCCTCATCGCCATTTATTGTTGTGATGAAAGCTGAGTCCTTCGAGGCAGGCTCAGACAAAAGTCATTCACACAACTCAGGAAGCATAAGCAGCTACTTGTGCTGTCATGATGTCTCTGGTGTGGCTTGAATAACTTTAACCTCTCATACTTTATGGCTACTGTCGGATCAAAACATTGATAACCAGAAATATCACAAAATGTTGGAAATCATTTGAATATGTACTTTTAGCTGAATTCAAAACAGATAAATGGACAGATTCAGGAAAATGAAAGATTCTTTTGTTTTCCCATAGCCCTTTTTAATGCTTTTCTCAGTGGTGGGCACAGCTAATCAAAAAGTTAAGTTCATTAACCACTAATCTGCTGAACAAGAATCTAATCCTAAAACACTAAACAGATTTTTTAAATTAGTGGAAGCTAATGCTAACTGCTAAAACAAATGTCATTCAATCTTTGTGTCACACATCTTTATCTCTATCCAGCTGAAGACTGCTGGGACTAATGCAAACTTGTTAATTTACTACTGGTTTAATTTAAAGGTGAGTGGGATTGTTTGTGGCAAATCAGCCAATCCAAACTAAGTGTGTATTATTATAGATATCATTTGAAGTTAGTCAAACACAAATAGCAAATACTTTCTCATCCATATTCTATACATAGTGATTTTTTGTATTTGTTATTTAAATATTATTAAATGTTATTTTATTTCTTTTTGACACCCTTAGCTTGAAGTTTAGCTGTTAGAGATTCTACATGCTACACGTGTGGTGCCTGACGCCCATCACTGCTTATAAGATGAGATGGTTTTTCATTTATTTCAAGATAAATGCCATAAAGATAGAAGTTTTACACTTGTGACATTTTTAGTAAACTTAATGGAACCTAATTTAGAGGAAACTAATTGGTCCGCTAACGGTTTCCAACGTTAGCAGAAAAGCTAAACCACTAAATGAGACGATAGTTACACTATAAGCGGATTAACAGAATTGTGCCCACCTCTGACTTTTGTGTTGTTGTCAGTCATTTACGGTCATCTTGGATATTTGAGCTTACTGTTCTGATGTTTGCACCCCCCCGGCACACTGCAGGCACAATTTACATAAAAATGTGAATTTCCTTTTAGTAGCAAAGATACCTGTTCACTTTACTGAAAATGCAAACACACGTCAGAAACGTTTTTGCTTTTCATGACATTTTATTGACAAAATATGTGTTTGATATGACAACTTCACTGGTGCCACTGCTTCTTCTTATTGTTATTGCACTTTGTGACATCATTCAAAAATCCTGAATCCTTGAACGTCCTCTGTGGATATGTCAGTCAATTATTAGCTTCTGCGGTAATTACCCACTCCCTGCGGACCTTCTAACCCCTGACCGGGCCCTGTAGAGCACCTGAGCAATTTATCACTCAGCCGCATTTAAATAATAACTGCAGGCCTTTTTTGTCTTATTGCGTAATGGCTTGGTAATAGGCTATAGCGCCTGCAGTTAAAAGGCCATTCAAAATCCATCATAAAGGTAAAAGGTCACCAATTTTCTGTAATGACGACATCTGAATCAGACGCATGGCTTAGTCATGTAGACTTGTCATTGTTAAGGTTTCTTTATTTTTAAAATGTTTAGTTTTTATTTGTTGTAGTTTATTTACTCTGCTGTTTATTCTGTTTTCTTTGGATTTGAACGTGTTTCCTTAAAACTAAGGCCAACTTGGAATGCCATTGGATAAATGGTGAGCACAATAGCTGGAAGCGCTCAGAGAGCCAGCTTCATTTATATTTTTATACCCTCAATGTGCTCGGTCCCCTCGTCCTTACTCTCAGCCTTTCTCTCCTTGTTTTGCCTCACCGTCTCTCCTCCACGTCTCCTCTCTCTTTGTCCTTTAATCAGCTAAACCAAACAGCAGGGCTCGGCTTCCTGTCCATCTGGGATAGTGCCCGCCCCTTTCTGTCTGTGTTATCACTCTCGTGAGCCAACACATTGTGCTCACTTCCTGTTAGCGCAGCCTGGGAAACAACCTTGGAGCGGAAGAGGGATCGAGGCAGGGAGAAACATGGAGTTAGGGTTTAAGATGTGAGGGAGGAGAACCAGCAAAAAGGAGTTCAGAACAAAGATGTTTGGGATGAAATGTTGAGCCATAACACACAGGAAGTGGTGCTACCAACCTGAGGCTATTTGATCTTTTTAAAGCAACAAATTATTTTTAAGAAATCAAAATTAGTAGTAGAATTTTTGCAAATCGTAAACTGATATATTTTAAATTATGGGCTCCAAATACCAAAACATAAAGGTGAACATTACATCAGTGTGTGTTAAACATTGTTCAAGACAATGTTATCTCAGCTAGTTATAGTAAAAGCAAGCAAAAACAATAAAAAATGCAATCTAGACAAAAAAAAGGTCAGTTAAACATATTCCCGATTAAAAAAGGAGCTTGTTTTGCCACTTTTTGAAAACTGACACTTTTTTTATTTTGAGCTGTCTCCAATTTTTGTATGTGTATGATCATTGTAATTACACGATGTTTCTACACATGTATTTGGGGAAAAAACATCTCAACCAGCTGCAGCAAAAAGAGGTGCTGCATTATTATTTTTCTTTCAGCAATATTGACTGCAGAGTAAATGTGCAGAAAATGTAAAGAATTTTATGAAGATATAGATGGGATATTTTATAATCAAGTTTTAAAACTGTAACAAAACTTCAAACAGATTTCTATGGCAATGTGAGCTGGTGTTAGAATCCATATTTTATATTTTGAAATTTTGAAATATGCGCTGAGACATTTGTTTTAAATAAGTCATTTGTTTTTATCTCATGTATCTGTGCTTATTTCACGTTTCTGCTCGTATTTTTCATTTATAAAAAAAATCTAAATATGACCAATATTAAATGATTCCTTTGTTGAAATATTTTAAAATCATTTCAAAGTCCTTCTGTGTTTAAGACGACTTAAGCTTCATTGGGGAGTTTTGGACATTAACAACGAGTAGCAGCATTCCTTTGCATGAATAAAAAAAGATGAAGCTTGGACTTAGACGGTAAAAACACGTCTCTCAGGGTCGAATTCAGGCCACAAAGGTTGTTCACATTTATGGCAAAGAACAAGTGAAACCATCTCCAGAGAATACAGTACACTGGTTTATGGTTTAAGTGATCTTATTTTGTTTTGGGTTTTTTTTAGGGTATCCCATTCATTGACTGAGGGATTTTACTTAGAAAAAAAATCTATCTAGAAATAAAGGTGCCTAATAGTTACTGTTCTTTCTTTTTCTCCAAAATTTTGTATTTAAATGTTTTTTTTT